TTGCCGATGGTTCTCCTCCCCTGGGAGAGCCGTAATTGAGCTCCGGCACGTCCTGCGGCGAGAAGGTCCTGAAAGGATTTTAGGCACTGATGGGTCCTCTAAAGCCACCCCAGCCTGGCCATCCTTGGTGCTGGTGGGAACAGCTGCAACGTGGGTGCAGGAGCTCCAGGGGTGGTGTGAAGGCACCTCCGTGCCTCTTCAACGGCCCCTTTGGCAGGGCCGGGAGAGGAGATGAGGCTGGGAGCAGCTCAAGGCAATTAACAGCCTGACGAGCAATTAAGGGTGGAGAAGCCCAGGAGCTGAGTCCTGACGAAAGGAAAGGCCGGGCTGGGATGAATCACGGTTTGGAGATGCTGATCTCGCTCTCTGCTGGTGGCAAGAGGAGGCCTGGGGCTGGGTTTGGTCCTAAACCTGGAGGTGAAGCTGGAACTCTTGGAATGGCAACTGTCCCAGCAGATCCATGTAGATCTGGTCTGTGGAGATCCTCAGTGAAGAGGTCGTGGCCTGGGGGAGCTCATCTGTGGAGGCCTGGCCCATGAAGATCTCACCTACCAGGATGCCACCCGGTGGAGATCCCATCCCATGGAGGTCTGGTCCATGGAGATCTAATCCACCAGTTTCCTGTTCATGGTGACCTTCTCCCACGGAGATGTGGTCCACAAAGGTCCCATCCACCAGGATCCCGTCCACCAGGATCCCAGCCCACGGAGGTCTGGTCCACTGAGATCCCAATCCCTGAAGATCTGGTCCATGGAAATGCCATCCAGGGAGGCATGGTCCATGTCGATCTCAGCTACACGGATCCCGTCTGTGGAGATCCTGTCCGTGGAGCGGTCAGCTGCAGAGTTCATCCCATCCGCGGGGATCCCTGCTGCAGAGCACCTGGGCCATGGTGGTTCAGGCGGAGAGACGTGGTGGGCAGAGATCTCATTCACTGGGATCCTGCCCGTGGAGATGCCACCCATGAAGAGATAAGACATGGTGTTCCAGGGCCGTGGAGGTCAATTCCGCAAGGCTTCAAACCACGGGGATCCCGTCCTGGGGATCCTGTCTCTGGGGATCCACCCTGCAGATACCATCAGCCGTGGAGATCTGGTCCGCAGAGGTCCCATCCATGGGCATCCCATCCGTGGGGATCCGCTCTACAGACACCGTTGGCCAGGAAGGTCCCCAGAGATCCCATCCATGAGGATCCCTGATCCCCTGGGGACACGAGGGGACTGGGACACTTCGCAAGGTGACATGGGGGCTCCCAAGGGGAACAGAGCTGCTGGGTGGGGACAGGGGACACGAGAGGTGTCATGGGGGCACACGAGGTACCCAAGGGGACATGAAGGGACATGGGGGGCATGTGAGGGGACACGGGACACATGAGGAGACAGGGAGCTCGTGAGGGGACGTGGGGCACATGAGGGGACACGGGGGCATGTTTGGGGACGTGAGAGCACAAGAAGACACAAGGGGATGGGG